AAGCCGCGTCAAAGTCGGCCGAGCCTCAATCCGCCTCCTGACCCGAAAGTGGGTAAAGAGCAGGTAAGAGGCAACTCCCAGTAGGCTCGGGGTGCCCTACCAGGAAGCTGCTAGGTTTTGCTGAATCTTTAGGTGGTAAAGATCGACAGGGCCTAGCCCCAGACGGTCTTGTGGAAGTTTTCACCAGACGTGAGTATAAGCCAGGCTTGTTAGTGGACTCGGCTACAATTAAGGGCTTTAAAGAGCCGTGGTCAATTTTATTTGATTCTGGAGCGTCAGGCAACTATGCTCGACGCCAGTCCCTAGAGGGATGTCAGCAATATGCTGAGGCGCTGAAAGCGCATGAGGGTGATTTTATACAGTTCGCTTAGCGACAGGTACTCGTGTCACCGCACCTAAAGTTCCGTTGAACATAGGTGTATATTTTTTGGTTTCGATAGTATCGAACGTTGTCTCGTCCTGGATTTGGACTCGAGATATGATCTCATTCTTGGTATGACTTGGCTTGAACGCCATGAGCCATGGGTTGATTGGAGGTCGAAGAACTGAGGTGCAACGCGCAAAGTTCCTAGTGAAGCTTTAGAAGGTCATGAACCCACCTTTGCTAGGCAACAAAAGTGCCATTGGCGCGCGCCACTGACGGATACTGTCAGTGTGCTTGGCATTGGAGTGTCTGATCTAGCTAGCTCTGGTGTCATTGACGATAGTGAAACGGCACGTATTCCGTTGAGTTACACTAGCAATGACAGTGAATCACTGAATGCTGGAAGAATTCATGGCCTTAAGGCCGAGTCATCCTGGGTGTGATCCCTGTGATTCGCGTGGAGTGACACTTAAACTTTTACAGAGTGAGGTCGGCCGTGACGGCACCCCACTAATTGTCGGTCACGACATTGTTGACGATTCGCCAAGGCATCAAGAGCTACGCTCATTATATGCGCGTGGAGTGGAACGTAAACATCCACAGAGTGAGGTCGGCCGTTATGGCACCCCACTAAATGTCGGTAATGACATTGTTGGCGATTCGCCAAGGCGTATGGAGCTATGCTCAACAGATGCGATTGTAGTGGCATGTATAAATCCACAGAGTGAGGTCGGCCGTGAGGGCTCCACACTCAATGTCGGTAATGAAATTGGCTCTCAGAGAGAGCAGGTCGAGGTTGAAAATAATCTATACCTCGTGGAACCGGATTTTCCAAATACGTTGAAGTGTTCAGTTTCTGTACAGAAACGACAGCGACGCCAGATGGCGGCTGTGAATAGAAAGTATTCCGCCATGACTCCGAAGGGCACTAGCGAACATTTGTACACTTTAGTCAATGGGGCGTCGGGTGCGATTGATGGAGAAGTTGGCCTCGAGGCCCTCCCATCGATTAATGCTCTGCTAGAGCTAGACGAAATGTCGTTAGACGAATTTCATATAGCCTTAAAGGCTGGTGCTTTGTCCTATATGGTGGTCCCTAGACCTGATCTTGTGTTAACTCGTCATCCCTTGTAGATGATACATTCCTTAAGGACGTTGAAGCTGCACTCAGTGCTCGTAGTGGATCTGCCATTTTGAAAAATCCTTTGGATCCCTTTTATCCTTTGGTAAGAGAATATCAGGACGTGGTGTGTCATGATCCACCATCCACTCTACCTCCCGAACGAGGTGTGCGTCATGAAACGAACATGGTCCCTGGGAACAAATATTGTGTTACACGTCAATGGCCATTGCTTAAGGAACAGTGTGACGTCATTGACGAGTTCTTTCGTGCAAAGCACGCGGCAGGCATGGTGCGGGAGAGCAAATCTACACACTCGACACCGACATTTTGTGTCAGAAAGTCCAATGGAAAGTGGCGTATAGTGGCGTTTTGTGCACGCTAACAATAAACTTAATGCGTCCATTTTACCGGCGCAGACGCCTATTCCTAGAAAGGATGTTTTTAAAACGCTATGGTGGGTTGTACCATGTTTAGCGCACTCGACTTAGACGATGGTTATTGTCCACCGCTCACGCGAGCGAGTGATAACCCGCTAACAGTGGTTAGCACGCCGAGTGGTATGCTTTGGTAGTGGCTTGTTATGCCTCAGGGACTTTCTAATGCCCGTGCAAACTTTAGTCGTCTCGTTACGCAGTTGTTCCGCCCTCGTAGAGGATACGTACAAAGCTATTTTGACGACATTTTTGTCCATAGCCGTGCAGAACAAGGAGGATCAGATGTGAAAAAATCACATAGACCATTTGCGAGCAGTGCTCGGGTGCATGCACATCAACAAATTGTACGCTAACGCGTCTGAGTGCGTCTTTGGTGCTGAAGAATTTTTTTAGAGTGCTTAATTATAAAGCGCGGTTTACGGGCAGACCCGCTAAGGTAACGTCCATTGTGGATTGGCCGGTTCCGTCTAACCCAAAAGACTTGCGTAAATGGCATGGTTTAGCCCATTATTAACACAAGTATAGTACAAACTATGCTGACATGGCAAGGCCATTTATCAACTTACCTAAAAAGGACGCGGTTTGGTGTTGGGACTCGGTCCAGGCACAAGGTTTTCAAGCTGTTGAGGAGAGTCTCCTTAAGGCTCCAATTTTGGCTTTGCCTGACCCGGAGCGACCTTTCACTGTTGTCTGTGACGCATCTGATTTTGCCATTGGCAGTGCATTGTTGCAAATTAATGTCGATGGACATGAGTGCGTCATTGCGTTTAAGTCTCGCCAGCTTAAAGATTCTAAAAGAACCATCCAGTTCATGACAAAGAGCTACTTGCGATAAGGTATCCTCTAGTCAAATTCAGAGTACATCTGCTTGGCTCAAACCCTTTTGTGATCTATAGTGATCATGCGTCATGATTTGTATAGATCACAAAAGGCTTTGAGCCAAGCAGATGTACTCTTCGACACAGTCGCCGCATCTCTCATAGAGATTGGCTCGTTGGATTTCCTTCTGTGCCGAATATAACTTCGAGGTGAAGTATAAGCCAGGAAAGCAAAATGCCTTGGCTGATGCGCTATCGCGCCGACCTGACTATGAGCTTGCTCATGTTATGACACTTTCGTTATCAGTCCTTGACTTAATTCGTGCGGCTTATGCCAAGGACGAACAGTGTGTAGCTTTGCTACGGGCTCTTGGGAGCGATGAGTATAAGACTCGGACATAACATTGTCGGCACGTTTACGCGCGTGGCTACATCGATATTCCATTGATGATGGCCTGTTGTGCTATCGCATGGATATTGAGGAAAAATCTCGTATTGCTGTCCCTCATGATGAGGAGTTGAAGCATCGAATCATCTATGAGGCACAAGACACCGCTTTAAGTAGTCATCTCGGTCGTGATAAGACCAATGGATCAGTAAGCTAGACTTGTTGGAGGCCCAAGATGTACAAATGGGTGAGCACCTATGTGCGTACGTGCGAAACGTGTCAGCGAGCTAAGCCCTTAACACATGCGGCTGCGCCGCTGGCTAGTCTGCCTGTACCCTCTGGGTGTTGGGAATCTATGAATGTGGAACTTGTGTTCGGTTAGCCGAAAGATTCGGAAGGCAACACTGGTGTTGTGGTCTTTGTTGACAGTTTGAGCAAGATGGCTCGTGTAGCGGTTGTGCCGGACATGATCGATGTTGAAGATACAGCAATGCTGTTTATCGATTGTGCGTTTCGACAGCATGGATTGCCTGTGGCAATTGTATCTGATAGAGACCACCGCATTACTGGAAAGTTTTGGAAGTCTGTCTTCAAATTGCTCGGTATCCGATAGGAAATGTCCACCGCGGATCATCCGCAGACCGATGGTCAAACTGAACGCGTTAATCGTGTCATTGGTGATATTTTGCGCAGCGTTTGCGCTGATACGCCATGGCGTTGGAGCTCAGTTCTTCCTGCTGGTGAATTTGCATGGAAAATTGCGGTTTATGCCTCCACAGGCTTAGCTCCATTTTACGTAAACGGCCTCACCCACCCTCGCGTTCCGTTAACGCTACCACTCTGTAGTTCATGACTTGGAGGGGGAGAGGTTGCCGATAGGCTTGATGATATCAGCCCTGCCACTGTTCACAAACAGGTAGGCGAGTTTCTCGCAACGCGATTGAATGTCTTACGACATAAGCGTGACGCAATGGCTGATAGCAAAGATCAACAAAAGCAACAAGCAGATGCCAAAGGCAGAAATTGTATTAAAAAGTTATAAGTTCGGAGACCAAGTATTACTCAATGCTAAAAACCTACCTAAAAATGTAGTGTCAGCTTTTTTTAATGAAGTTACGTCCGCGCTTCATTAAACCTTTTACGGTCGTGGCCAAGAAGGGACTTGCGTATACGCTCAACTTGCCGCACTAATTGCGTGTACATCCCGTATTTTATGTCGGCCTGCTTAAGCCATACCGGGACCCGTCCAATGTTGACTAAAAGGCGCATGCGCCGCGTACGTTGGCGTTGCCTCAGGATGTTGCGTCCGAATTAAGAGGTCAAGTTGTGCCTCGACAAGAGTCTGAAGTGAATCCATCATCTGAAGACGGGCGCGATCGCCTTCCCACGTCGCCAGACGAGATCAGGATTCGCTTAGGGCGTTCTGAGTCTGACCTAAAGTTACACGGAGATCCTTCACTTTCTTCACCAACTCAGCATGGCTTTCAGCCGATCCTCCGACCGCCACCGATGTTGCATGCTAGGCAAGGGAACTTACAGTTCCATGTGGCGGGGGTACTTCAACGACATCGTCGTCATGGTCACTTCCAATATCTGGTGAAGTGGCAAGGGTACCCTGAGTCTGAAAACTCATGGGAGTATGAGAGTTCCCTTCGGCAAGACTGCCCATACGCCGCTGACGTTTTCGAGCGCCGCGGCCGAGCTCGTCTTGACGAGCGTCACGCTTATCACTCGTCGTAGTGAGAGCGGGCGAATTCGTGTCAAAAGATTGACGTGAAGTCGTGGCTGCAGAGGCAGCCGAAGCATAGCGGGAGCGTGATACTCCCCGCAGGCGGCCTCTGGCCTTTAACTTTGCGAAGTTATAGCGAAGCTTTCACTCTAGACGAACTTCTGCCACACTGGCACTTTCGCGTAGCGCGTGCATGCTACTGAGGCGTCGAACGCCGTGCACCCAGCGGATGAACATATTTCCCCCCGCAGTTTCGTCCCCATATTTGGACAAAATGATGGGTATACCCCTAATTTGTGGAACCAATGTTCCTCGGGCCTGCTTTTGCAGCCGTTCTCTGTATTGACTCAAACTCATCACAGTAGGTTCCAAGTACCTCTCTCGAAGAGCCTTGCGGCATTCGTTCAGTGGGCGTTTTCGCCTCGGGGCCGGTGGCCCATGTTGCCAAAGTATGGCGTGACACTGACGAATGAGTTCTTTCGCGCCAGGTCGAGTGAACGTATAGTCACTGTTTCGTTGCAACGTTGTCTGAACTTCTGACTTCCACCGTGCGCTTGCCGCTTGATCGAGCATGCGTTGTAGCTCCTCGTCAAGCGGGTTAGTGATAATGGATGTATCCATGGGGGACGTTGCTCCCAGCGCTGTTAGCGTAGTCGCGGCACTACGATCGGGGAACGGATTAGGTGCCGGATGGAGAATGTCCCCACGCACAGGTGTACTGAATTTAGATTGCTCCTCCCCCTCGACTTTGGTATCACTACCACTGTCAACAAGATGTACCATCTTGCTAGCCGACCAACAGTGTGTTTGTTGGTCGGCTAGCAAGATGGTACATCTTCTTGCTGTACCGTAGTCAATCACAGCCTAAAGTTGTGCTCGTGTCTTCATCGATACTATCTTCCGACTTCACGGGTTATCCCGTGAACTCGTGTCTGATCGAGACCCGCTTCACAGCGGAGTTTCTGGCAATCCGTGTTCCATTCACTTGGAACACGTTTGACGATGTCAAATTCTGAACATACCGAAACAGATGGTCAAACAGAACGCGTCAACCGCGTTCTCGAAGAGATACTTCGAGGGTATGTCCACTCGTTTACGAGTTGGAGTGAGTTCTTGCCGATGGCGGAATTCGCTATCAACAACTCGGTGCACGCGTCGACAACGCATACACCGTCCTTCGTGAATGGCCTACGACGTCCACGTGAACCCACCTTCTTAGAATATGACTCTAGTTTAAGGGAGTGAACTCGCTCGAACACAAACCGATCTGGTTCTTGCTCATCATCCGTCGACAATGGTGTCGACGTGATGGATGCCGATGTCGATGGGATCGATGTCGATGATGTCGATGACGATGATGTCGGTATATTCAGCATCGCCAATGACCGCCAAAGTGAGGACGATGATACCCTCACTGGTGAAGACAACGTTCTTTCAGCAGTGCACACGAAGCGCACTGCTGTTGACAAGGATGAATCAGCAGAGGAATTTCTGCCGACTCGCGAAGCGGTTGTCCGCTTCGGTCAAGATTCTATTGTAGATGCATTAGACGGACAGAAACGAAATGCAGACAAACATGCTAGAGCAAATGTTCTTTCATTTAATGAAGGAGATTTAGTTTTACCGTCCACAGTAAACTTACCGAAGCACGCAGTGACAAACGTGGGCAGCAGTAAATTACTGCCCAGGTACATCGGTCCATTTCGTGTGTTGCGCCGAAAGGCCAACGCATACACGGTTGAGCTGCCCCGTAAGATGCGCACGCATCCTACGTTTTACGTTGGTCGTCTCCTCTTGTACCATCAGTACGAGTTCGTTTGGAGATGCGAAGAACACATCCGCGGTCAAGAGCCGAGACCACCTTCGAGTGTTCCCGTTTCAACAAGCCAGTCTGGTCGAAGAGCGAAGCGACCTGTTCACGCAGCCCAGCGATGTCTCGACGAGCAGCAGCCAGCTCATCAAGAAGAGAACGAGTCGAACTTTCGTTCTCAAGTTGCGCGAACGCAAAAGCGGCACGATCATCCGAACGATCGTGCGTTAGGAAATTGCAATTATCCCTTACAGGATCCTCAAGACCACAACGCCGACTCCGTTCATGAGCCAGGTCATCTTGAAATTGTTCCGTTACACAATTTAGCTCTTGAACAACAATCTTATCCGACCCTCAATCCGGATCAGGTGTTCCCGCCGCCACCACATCCTTTGGTCAACTCCGGCGGTTGTCAACGCTTCCTAGTGGAGCGCATTTTGAGCCAACGCGATGTGAATGGCGTCTGGAAGAGTTATCGCGTCCGCTGGCGTGGCTATCCACCGGCGTGGGACAGCTGGGAGCCTCATGCCCAGCTGATTGTTGATGTCCTTGGTCTCGTCGAGCAGTACGACGAGACCCACCCGCTGCATTCGAAGAAGGGCCGTCGAAAAACGACCTCCCCGAACGCGAGTACAGGGATTGCAAATCAACCCCTTCGGCCATCTCGGAAGAGATGCGCGCCCTCCGGTAGGGATCATTAGGGAGGTAGGCCTCCCTAGGGGCACGGTTCGAGTTGTCCAGGCAATCTGGACACGCATCACCCCACGAGAGACAGGGTATTCCTGTCTTTCTTGACAGTCGGTGAAACTTGTACCGTAGATGGACTGGGTTACGTTTTTCAAACATGGTGCAAGCTGCATCAAGTTTACCAAGCCAGGCCTCACGGCCAATGCACTTAATGTTGTGGATGAGGGCATTCCATCCTTGCACCAAGGCCTTGCCGTCTCGAACACGGCTGCCATTACACCACCGATGTTTGAAGAACGCATCGGTGAAGAACTCTTACTCAGCACGGATAGTTTCCGTGCTGGAATCAGGTGGAAAAATCTTCCTGCAATCGAACAACGGGATTCGATCCCGTTCAACATCCATGGCGGCTAACCGTTCCAACTCCTTGGAGGACGTGATCCAAGGAGACTCCACTTGAGGAGCGTGGCGCAGGACATTTCGGTCCCTGGCCTCTGGCCTCTTGATTGCTAGCATGAGCACTGGCACCAGTGTTACCCCGATCCCTTGAGTTACTTCGCTCCTGGTGAAGTATAGGAGCATCACCACCATCTCCACGCGTCGTATCGTTAGACGGACTTGCGTGAGGCGGAGAATCATCGGAATAATCACTCGATCCGAAGATCTCGGTCATGATACTCTCGCGCTGACCAGAGATAGTCAGCCCGGCCTTTGCAGCGTCCGCCCCGGGTTATCCCGAGGTGTGAGGATTCGCCTTCTAGTCGGATGATGCAACTAACTCGCCAGAATAGATGAGCTCTATCTCAGACTCGTCTGGATTACGATTTGAATTACCGGCTGCAGACGCAACATATGTATCTGTCGCACGTGGTGACTCACCACGCGGAAAATTCACGACAAAAGGCGACGAATCACCTGCTGCTGAGGCGTGAGAAGTACTCTCTCCGGTTGCACGCATGCGTGCAGCCGTCCTTCTTGCTGCTGCAGTAGCAACTCGCATGGGTTTCGAAATCCATGCGTTGGATTGGCAAATGAATTGAATTTGTCCAACAAGTGATCCCTTTCTCATAGTGATCCAGCGGTGGCCACCTTGTACCAATCAATTCTTTCTAATCAACGAGTGATTGAGGGTTAGGGAGGAAGGTGATGTAACGGGGTAGCCCGTTACATGATATTGACACCGAACGGTGTCAGTAGAGATATTGTCTAGCATGACTATGTTCTACCTATTGTAACCGAGATGGATAAATTGAAGGAGTGTTTTCACCTTGTAGGATAAAATATTCATGCGCCGCTTGGAGAATAATTGATTAAAGACACGTCAAACTTAGATTACCACCAATCGCTGCGAGACGCGCGTTATGAGTGGTGAGCAGGTTGTCGTCATAAGAAATGTAGATTAATAGAGTTAGATAAAGATCGAGTTGTATTGATATCTTGACTATATAAAGTACATTTTCTTTTTACCCTTTACTCATCTTAGTCGTTGAGCAGACTAGCTTCATTTGCACGTGCGAATGTACGAGAATTTCGTGGCACCCTGAACAAAGGGTGCCCCGCCATCACCTTCAGACAACACGACCAACAGAGAAGCATGGACAATCTCGCGCACTTTAGTTATGCAAAGTCTGATAGATACACCTCACGCACCTACACCCCACCACTGACGATAGTACAGACGATGGACAGAATAATAGTTGATAGGCATGCGGTTTCCTTTCACGTTTACACTAATAGCAGTAAAAAATAAACGATAAAATAGCCCGCATCGTACAGCAGGGATGCAAAAGACTAATCACTGCAAAAGCGTTGCTCTTATCACCATCGAACACAAAGCCTAGCCTGGGAATGCATTTTGGTACTCTAAGCGACTTCATTCTTCACCAGGTTCTGTAACGGGGTTACACATAATTGGGTACCTGGTACCCGGTGTCTCAGACACACGGATTATGTCCCACTGAAAGAGATTTAGACTATCTTATCGGTTTGTAGGGGCTGACTGGTGCCAGCCACTGGATAGGAGCGATCTTAGTTGTACTCACTTGAATCAAGATATTCTTTTAAGTGTAAGTGTAATTAAATTGCAGTTCACTTTTGATCTTAAAGACACGTGCCTTGCGAGGCGTTTTTGATCGTTGATCGCTGACCACTAAGAGTTAGCAACATCTCCCTGAGGCAGCTAGTTACTCTTGAGCACTACGTGCTGTCGAGTCACTGAATCGTTTAGGGCCCCCGGAACAAGGACCATAAGCTTTACACTTGTTGACTCATTGAGTCTAGTTCTTTAGAACTAAGTTGCTCATTGAGCGTTAAGTCTTCCTCTGACTTAAGGAGCTGTGTAGCTCCTCTATAGTTTTCCTGCACAATTTTAAAAAAATTGGTACACTAAGTTTAATGCATGAGCATGACCAGTTCTCTTTCTTTGTAACGGTGTTTGGTTTACGGAGTTAGAGCAAGAGTAACACCTAGCAATAGCAACGTTCTAGGTAATTCTCGGTCCATCGATGTGGTAGCACTGCAGACCTACTGTAAATCGCGCGTTTTCTCAAGCAGCGTTACATGTGCCAATGATTGTTTAAAGGCAGGTATCGAGGCAGTAGACGCATCAGGTGCAAAATTTGTCGACTGCAAGTCATACCACTGGGAATAATACGATGTCATCTTTTTCGGCAAAGATTAGTTTATCAACGAGTCGGATCCGACAGCAGGTAATCACAGTGTTAAATTGTCAAACCAGCGTTATATTGACACCAGGTGTAATTGTCCTTTTAAGCGATGGGGGCTGAAGCTGAGGAACATTATCGACGACAGACAGAAAATGTTTGAGGGTATGCCGAAGGATGCTAGAATGGGTGTAAGAGCCATTCTGCTATTTCTTCTCCTTCGTACACTTTACATAGTCGTGTACAAATCCTGGTTGCGTCTCGCGTAAACAGTCGATAAACACGCGCAAAATCGACGACGCAGATCTAATATAGCAATCGGGACTTTGCGTAACGTGACAAAAGATCACTCCTCTCTTGTGCTGTACACACTTATGGTGAAAAGGACCGCTGCGTGTGGCAGAATTCTGACCTATTTAATAAACAACTACTTTCTTTTGGTTTGTTGCTGAAGTTTAAAAGTATCTGATACGAGTTGCATTTATATACAGTTTTCGGTACGTAAAATTCGACACGATGATGCTTAAATCTTTGCGTTACACTGGTGGTGGTTCTTCAACACAAGGTTTACTTGTTTTCATTTGCAGATGCTGCCATTTGCGAGATTTTATATCGTTTCTTGGTTTATGAAATTGAAAGCGTAGCCGATCGTTACAAAAGGTGCTTGCTATCCTGTTTCACATGCAAGCAGAAGTGACGTCGTCGACGCACTCAACTCGCTGTCTATCAATCAAAACTACTAGTGAGTGAGAAGGTGAGGTATGTTCAGGTACGCTGGCGATCCGCTATTTCCAGAATGGCAGTGGTCAAAATCACCACTCATACATCTAAGTTATAAGGCTAGTGTGGTTCCACGTAAGAAGCCTCCGCGCAGCGCGAGGTGCTTTCGTGACAAAAATCGATCTTTTTCTGTGTTAGTGGGTCCACTTGAATCTGCGAGATCGGAAGTAAAAGTCTCGATCCAGTGATTGACGTCGTTGTCAAGGTGTGCAGCCATCTCCTGAACGACTCTTCGGCCTGACGGGATTCGGACTTGGGCGGTACTTCACGTATCCGTGGCTATGTTTGTCGCACAGTCAGCCATTTTGTTGTCGTCGCGGTAGTGGTGACCCCAGCTGACCACAGCTACTTCGTCGGCCAGATCTCTCGCCACTTCGTATAAGAGCGCCAATTGTGGTTTACGCAGTGAGCGAAAGGTCCTGAGTTGCGAGCGCACCAAAGCCCTGTCCCCGATGACATGAAGAGGCGACAACAAGCCTTCTTTAGCTCGGCGTAGACCGTGCACGAGACCTTGATATTCGGCAAAATTGTTAGTAGTAGTTACATTGCCCTATGCCATGCTGGCCACCCACACGATGCCGGCTGTGTGGGTAGGTGCGTGAGGTTGACAATGACGGAGTTAAACCCGCCTGGCACAGGATTTTCTCGAGATCCCCCATCGAAGAAAAGCAGGTATAGCACACCTGGCTGGTCAGCCAGCCGTATTCATCGTAGTTGAAATGATTTGTCGTGTAGCAAAAGCGTGTTGGCCATGGCCGATCGCACCTGCGCTAGTATCTGGATATCAGCTCCACCTTCAGATTTGTATACAGAGCTTCGAAATCGTGTCAGCGCACGTCGCAGGTGTGACGTAGCTTTGGAAATGTGCGCCTCTTCAGGCAGGGTGGGATCTCGCATTCGATTCAGGCGCTCAATCCATATGGCATTAACGACGACGAAATGAAGAATCGCCACATTTCTTTCGCCGCGTGAAAGACTGCTAACTTGCTTTGGACCGATCAACGCTTATTGTAACGGGGCACCCTGAAGCTTGTACTGGTGACAGTACAAGCTACTTATTCTGATGACAGAATAAGGCGGTGCCTCGTAACTTCACGTACGCTCGTACGTGCAGAGGAAGACGGTAAGAAGAAGCGAGTACTTGGTTAAAGTAAAAAGTAGAACTGTATTTATAATAGTTAATGTCTGCAATAAATCACTATTTATCTTCATCTAACTATGTCTAAATACAAATGTGTAAATCAATTATCTGCTCACCACTCATTGCGTGCGTCTGTCGTGGCGCGTCTTCGTTGGTTGATATAATGGCCTATATCAACCAATTAGGAACTACTCGTAAGTGCTACAGAATATTTGTCCTTATGACAATATTCTGAGAATATAACTCTTATAGCTATATTCTATTAACAATTTCTTATAAAGTGTGATGTAACGGTTCACCCCGTTACATCACCCCCCCTTAACCATCAGTCACTTTAGTGACTGATTGACTAAATGGATACTCGTCCCAAATCATTTGGGACAGGGTTTGCACTTGTTGGTCCGCGTCCACTTTCCAACATCTCATCGCACGGTAAACAAGCCCATGCGATGCGCGAGCAAGGCCGCCGAGAGCGCGTCCGCACGTCTCTGTGCGGACGCCGAAGCAGAAACCACAGCAACTGATGTGTCATCGGTTGCTGAAGCAATCCAGTCTGTGTCACTTGGTGATGCAGGAGCTGGTCATGAAGACACTCATGTCTTCACAGAGCATGAGCTCGGTGTCTCGTACTCTCCTGATACGGAAGACGGATCCGTATCGACGGCGATTGAATCCAAGCCGCCTGCCAAGCGTGGCATGGATGATGCTTTGCGTCGTAGCATCTTTGGTTCATCTGATTCATCAGATGAACCATCGCCGATGCGTAGGCGCTCGAAGTCGCGAGACTCGGGCGCTAACAGTGGTGTCGGATCTCCTATGGACACCACTTCGCAACGAGGTGCCAGTACTTCTGTCGGCACATCGCAGGAAGAGCGGGACCGCAATTTGTTGCGTCTCGCTCCTGAGAAGAAGGCATGGATGCCTCCTAAATCAGTCATGGATCACTTGTCGGCGACGACGAGTGATCGTTATCGAACACGATTGTTCGATTCGTCAAGGATCCATCACCTTGACCCCAGCGCGAAAAACTATCGCGCTGAACATGAATTCTTCATCGATGCTTTCTTTAAACATCGATGGTACAGTGTGAATCACAAACGTGATGGTCCCTCACTGCTTCTGGCGTGGAACGCCTACATCCATAACCTTGAGGATGTAGGTCGTGGCGTTTGGAACGACAAACTTATCAAAGCTCGTGATAAGTTTAAAAAGCGATCCCCGACAGGTGCACGCTACAAGCTGCATCGTCTGTCAAGGGAGAAAGGATTACCCTGCCTCTCTTGGGGAGACCCGTGCCCTTGTTTTGTGAACAACTCTGCGCGAGCACCTAAGGAGGCTTACCTCCTTACCAGCCCGTGGTGGCGCGTACGTGTCTCTACTGAGATGTACGAAGGGATTGACAACCTGAAATCCTTTTATGAACGTGCCATAAGACTTTCTACGGCTGTCCTTCTGCAGCACAGGATGTGCCGCGTCGTACTGCTCAACCAGACCCAGTACGTCGATCATCAGTTGGGAGCGGGGCTCCCAAGAATCCCAGGACGGGGGATAGCCGCGCCACCGGACGAGATAACCTGTCCGACGTCCGTTCACGTCGCGGTGGTTCAACAGCTGCTCAACTAGATAGCGCTGGCCACCGCGAGAGTCCTCTAATGGAGGTGGAGGAGGAGGAAAGACGCTCTCCACACGATCATGTGGATCGGTGTGTTCCCGAGAGCTTCTTTGATCGCGTAACGCAAGGGTTACGCGACGATCTCGAACATGAGCGGAATAGGCGTCTCCAAATGGCGGACACTGCCTCGAAGCATCGAGCTGAGTTTTCCTTTGCTCAGCTTGAGAACGAGAGATCTCTGACATCTCTTCGTGACGAGCTAAGGGTAGCTCGTGTGGATATTGACCGGTCTCGGGATGAGATAAATGCTCTTCAGACCCTTGTCGATATCCACCATCGGGAGCACAAGGCCCTCTGCGAGATGCTTGAGCGCAAGGGCGTTCTTCATCGGAAGACGCAGCGTACTGATGGTACGGCTTAAGCCGACCAACGTAAAACGTGGGATGCGTTCGCATCTTACGTGGCAGTTCGATCGTGTATGTTTTGCCTAGGCGGTGCAATACACGAAATGGGCCGATGTACTTGGGTAGTAGTTTACTGCTACCCAAGTTAGTCACTACATGCTTTGGTAGATTAACCGTAGACAGTAGGACTAAGTCACCTTTGTTAAATAAAAGAGTGTTTGCCCTTCCATTCTTGTCAGCGTTTTGCTTTTGCTTATCCACCGCTTCGGCGATGGAGTCTTGCACAAAACGGACTACCGTTTCACGAGCCAGTATGAACTCATCTGATGACTCGTTAGCTTCAGTGTGCTGTGAGTGCACTGCAGCAACATCAACATTTTCTTCAGTGAGGGCTTCCGCACTCTCACTGGCATCATCTTCTTCGATATCGATGTTATCGATATCGGCATCAAACGCAATGACTTCCTCGTCAGAGCGTGATGAGCGTGAACCAAATCGGTTTTTGCCCGCGCGAGTCCCTCCCCCCCTTAATCCATAGTTACACTCTAGTAAGGTGGGTACACGCGGATGGAGCATGCCATTCACGTAAAACGGTGTATGTGTCATGGAAGCATGCACCGAGTTGTTAATGGCAAACTCTACCATTGGCAAAAACTCACTCCAACTCTTAAAGGAGTGTACGTATCCTCGAAGTATCTCTTCAAGGACACGATTTGCACGTTCCGTCTGACCATCTGACTCTGGATGATCAGATGTCGACATCTTCAAGCGCGTTCCGAGTGATTTGAACGCGGAACGCCAGAAATCAGCAGTGAATCGTGGATCTCTGTCTGATACGAGTTCACGGGGCAACCCATGAAGTCGGAAGATGGTGTCAATAAAGACACAAGCACAGCCACTTGCCGTGATTGTCTCTGGTACAGCCACAAGGTGTACCATTTTGATGAATCTGTCAACAAATACGAGAATACCCGTATTCCCGCGTGCGTCTTTGGGTAACCCGAAGAAAAAATCCATTGAGATGGATTCCCAGCACTCAGCCGGAACCGGTAGAGGCTGTAAAGGTGCACGCAGTGAAGAACTTGACTTCACTCGTTGACAGACTTCGCATGCGCGAACATACTTTCGCACAAACTGATACTGGCGGGGCCAGTAAAAGTCTCGACTCACCGTGAGAGATGTTTTCTCCCGGCCACGATGTCCTCCTATAGGAGCATCGTGATACTCGAACATGATCCGCAAACGCAGATCAGTATCATCTGGAATGACAACACGTGGTGTGCCACCAGTAACGGATGTATAATATAGTAAACCGTTTCGAGCAGTGTATCGATCTGATGCAGATCGATACGCAGACGACAATCGTTTCAAAGATTCTCGAGATGGTTGGGAGAGATGTGTCAACAACTTCACAATCTCACCATCTTGGGCGTATGCCCGCCTCAAATCATCATAAAACGTTGTAGATGGGACTGAGGACGTCATAACCGCAACAGTGACTGTCTCACTGTTGGGTTTCGCGACTGGTTCAAAGTCGGGACGACGTGAGAGTGCATCAGCGACGACATTAAGTCGTCCTGGTTTGTACTCGACCGTAAAGTTGTATTCCGCAAAGAATGACAACCACCGCGCCATTCGTTGTGAAAGGTGCGGGCTGTTCACTGCCGTGCGTAACGACGCATGGTCAGTGTAAACAATGAAGGGTCTATCTCCTAATAGATAGACTCTGAACTTCGCGAGTGCATACTTCATGGCAAGGAGTTCCTTGTCATGCACTGGATAGTTCCGCTCAGCTGGTTGCAGCTGACGCTGATAGCATACGACGCGTTTAGCGCCTTCAAGATCGTACTGCATTAATGCACAGCCGATTGCGAAATCGCTGGCATCACAGACCACATGAAATGGCCTGTCCTGATCGGCTATTGCTAGGACTGGGGATTGTATCAAGCTCTGCTTGATACCATCAAACGAGCGCTGACATTCAGCGTTCCATAACCACCTCTCGTTCTTTTTCAACAAACGAGAGAGGTGCACAGTCATTTCGGCGTATTGCGTGAATACTTTTGCAAATACGCCGCTATCCCAAGGAATTTTCGAAGACCTTTGACATCAACCGGCACAGGCCAGTCGGTGATCGCCTTGATCTTTTCGGGATCAGGACATACACCGTTCTTACCAACGATGCACCTAAGAAGTGGTATTTCGCTTGCTGCAAATATACACTTCTTGAGGTTTGCATACAATTGATGCTTTCGCATGATTGTAAAAACTTGTCGGACGTGGTACCTGTGAACCTCAACGTCCGACTTTCCATCCATAGCTCGACTATGGATGAATACGTCATCGAAATAACTCAGCGCGAATTCTCGTACTGGTCTCAACAGATGTGATACACATCTGTTGAACGTGGCAGGGGCATTACTAAGCCCTTGTGGCATTACTAGCCATTCCCAGAGCATGCCGCTTGCGGTATAGGGTATATCCCGTGTTCGCATAAGGATTTGATAGAAGCCATCCATCAAATCCATGGACGAAAAGATGGTACTCTTTGACAGACCATCAATGATTACGTCCTTCCTTGGTATCGGTGTCTGGGCCGGTACCGTTGCAGCATTCAACTTGTTAAATGCATGCACTATCCGCCACCCTCCTGTTGCTTTTCGCACACAGAAGGTCGGAGAGCTATGTGGGGAAGTTGGTTCCCTCACATGGCCCGCAGCTAAACGATCGGCAAAGAACTTGTCGATCGCAAGTACTTGTTCACGAGGCAGTGGCCACTGCTTCATGACACAGTACTTCGAGCCTGGTTTAAGCTCGACCTCGTGTCGAGTACCTTTATCCTTCGGTAATTCGCACGGAACAGTTTCAGGGAATACATCCTTGAATTCAACCAAATCTTCATAGAGAGGATTTGTCTTGAGCGATTCCCACGATTAGGAGTCATATCGCTCAATTCGTGTCTTTTCATCTAGGACACTCTCGTCCATAGATGAACTACTGAGAGCTCTCTCGTTCTCAGTGAACACTGTTGCTGACCTTATGTCGGTTACACACTCGTCGTCAGCGACGAGTATGCAGATCTGCTTGACTTTGCCACTACGCAGATCACGCAAGAACCTTTTATGCTCGAGCGTTGGCAACTGAGTGATCTCCGAAGTTAACTTCGGAGGCGCAATCAGATCAAGTGTATAAGCGCCTACACTTGATCCGTTATTGACTATGACATTCAATGTCTCTGTCATTTCCTGGGGACTTATTCCCTCAGGCTTCGAAGGACTTATTCCTTCGTCTTCCCGGGGACTTATTCCCGTGGGTTTCGGGGAACTTATTTCCGCCGTGTTTGTAATCTTGGGACTTATTCCCTTAACTTCCTCTAGCTGGGGTTGCGCAACCACAGCGAGATCCTCTACGAAAGACTCTCCAGTCGATCTAGGATTATCGTTTCGCTTAACCTGAGCGATCGATTGTTTCTCTTCTAGATGTTCCCCGCTAGGGATACATCTTTGTCCCAGTCCACCCGACTTATTCGAGTGGTGGACCTTCGGCGCAGCCTGTGTTTCCTCACAGCCGCCGGAACTTTGCTCCGAAGTGTAACCGTTTGGTACACTAAGGTTTTGTGCAGTCGTACTAACGACCGTACCACAAGTGAGGCCATCGCACTCACTCGTAGTACATCCTCACGCTAGTGGAAGCTCCAAAACGTTCATCAGATGGCCATCTGATGAACAAGCGGCAGGCATCGTTACTGTCCGATGTTGCCAGTTTACCCGTGGTTCGTACCTTCTGAGCCACGGTATTCCAAGGATGACATCAAATTTGTCATCCAAATCCAATACGATAAAGTCATCGTCATATTGGGTATCTTCTAGCGTATAGTGGATCTTCACTATACGCTTCATGACGGTTACGGATGCGCCTGTCGCAAGACGTACCGTCATTCTCGTAGGAGGTGTGTCACATTCACTGAACTTGAAGTGACCATCTTCTAGTGATTGGCGTCGCACAAAATTGTTGGACGCCCCACAATCGACTAGAGCTCGAAGGGACAACTTATTCGTCACTTCGAATTTCAAGGTAATTAGTGAGACCTCATTACTTAGAGCAGCAACGCACAACGTTTGTGTGTTGGGAGCAACCTTCATCAAGAGGCCTACAAATTCTCTTGACGTTGCTGGACCAGTAGGGTGCTCCGCACCTACTGATCCTGTCCGTTTTTTTACGGTCCATCCCGTTGTTGCGTCTTTGCACCAACAACGGACCCTCGTCCCTGCCCCTTTCTCATGGGCGGACGGTCATTACACCCAGTGTTGCGAGACACTGGACGAGGGGCACTACACTCGTAAGCGTAGTGTCCTGTCTTTTGACATCTGTTGCATTTCTGCAACTTCTTGTAGTCTGTAGAGCGAGCCTTCTCGCTCTCTACATAACATAGTTCCATCGGCTCTGGACCTCCGCTGTCATATCGTCTCGGTGGACGATATGATGTCGAGCTGGCGCGAGCCTGTTTCAGACTGAAGTCTTCCTGCTCCGCAATGGAAACGGCTTGTTCTAGTGAATCTAGTTCAAGCCGGAACAGGTGAGTCTTGACGGGACCATCCGCAAGACCCTGCATGAACACCGAAACCAACGTGTGTTCATCCACCGGATTGGAACTTATACAACTCGTAAGATGTCGTATATGTTGCGCGTAAGCGTGCACATCACGCTTACCCTATTTGAGCTTCAACAGTTCGGTTCGAGCCCTGAACTCAGCTCCAGGCAGTTCAAACGTTTGTCTGAGCCGCGACTTGAAGACTTCCAACGACCCAAACGCATATGGGTCGTGCAACTTGAGCCCCAGTGCCCAAGTCTTGGCACGTCCTGCCAGATTTGACTGGGCAAATGCAACTTGCATATCCCCGTCGTCGATGCGACGCGCCCTTATGGCGTCATCTAATTTTGACGAACCATCTCAAGAGGGAGTCTTCTTCGACCCCCCTGTACTTTGAGATGTCAATCTTCAAAGTCTCGGGTCGATGCGAGTGCATCGACCCACCAGCAGCAGCCTGCTGCTGTCTCAACAGTTCAAACTGTTGAGCACCCTGTTCTCTCAACAACTCTGCTTGTTGAGAACCTTGTTGGTGAAGCAAGGCTACTTTCTCGCGTTCGGCGTCAAGTTCATTTTGAATGAACTTGGCGATAGTAGCATGTTGGGCATCTCTATTGAGAGCCTCTAGCATGACGCTAACAGCATGGATGCCCATGGTTGAACCCAATCGTTCAACCGCATCCCATTCGACATCGCTCAAATGGGAGTAGCCGTCACGCGTAGCGTGAAAGCTTTGGTCATCTTCATCATCCAACATATTCATGTTAGATGTGAACGTGGTCCTTGGACGGACTACGAAGTGCTACCAGGTGTAACGGAGCACCCTGAAGCTTGTACTGGTGACAGTACAAGCTACTTATTCTGATGACAGATTAAGGCGGTGCCTCGTAACTTCACGTACACTCGTACGTGCAGAGGAAGACGGTAAGAAGAAGCGAGTACTTGGTTAGAGTAAAAAGTAGAACTGTATTTATAACAGTTAATGTCTGCAATAAATCCCTATTTATCTTCATCTAAATATGTCTAAATACAAATGCGTAAATGAAATATCTGCTCACCACTCATTGCGTGCGTCTGTCATGGCGCGTCTTCGTTGGTTGATATAATGGCCTATATCAACCAATTAGGAACTATTCGTAAGTGCTACAGAATATTTGTCCTTATGACAATATTCTGAGAATATAACTCTTATAGCTATATTCTAGTAACAATTTCTTATAAAGTGTGATGTAACGATTCACCCCGTTACACTTATCGCGAGGGATCGCTGAACTGCCGCCCAGGCTGCTGACGGCTGCCCTGAGATCTCTAGGGCGAGCACCCAGACGTGCATGTCGGCCTCGTCAAAAGCTCCTAGATGTCGCCACAGCGAACGCAGATGGGCCCAATGGCGTTTTGCTATCAGTTGGATTAAGAACTTTAAAAAAATCCGTCCACGATCCCTGTATAACCAGGTCACCTAAAAATCGAGTGCGTTCCCTCTTTAGACAACGATGCTCGTAAACCACTAATTTTCAATCACGTGCAAGATAGAGCAAGACTAAAAACCCGAAAAAAGTCTTGCCGATTCTTGGGCTGCCGAGGATGACGAGCTGCCGAACGGTCCCTTCTTTATTGTCAGAAATGCTCCGAAACATGTCCCATAGCTGCGGGTACCACGGACGAATGTATATACAGCACCAAACTTGGGTTCATTCAAAAAAAATATTTTTCCGGGTAACGTGATCACTGCGTCCGCTACTATCGACGATTTTTGCGTTCGAAGAGCCTTTCATAATTCCGCTTGTGGTGAATCTATCATGGTCGGCATGATGGGCATCTGGACACCACCCACCAAAATACACGGGCCCACCGGAATAGACGTAATCGGCGTGCGCACTACCAGCACGTGGACAACGTCTTCTTCAAGAAAAAGACCAGAATGAGCAGGCTGGGCTTTTCTAACCGCCACGACGCGCGCATCTCCTTCAGCCCATCGAGAAATACTTCGGTCTAAATCAGTTTGTACAAAATTTACCGTCGTCTCGCATCCACGCCCCATCCTTTTTCGCAAGAAGACCCGCAGCTCTCCAGTATCGCACAGGATGCCCACTGCGTTCTTCGCCTTAAAGGCATTTTTTTTAAATCCCCACCAAATCGTTCGTGTCAAGTTTGACGAAGGAAAAGCTCTTAAGTAGATTAACGATCGCACAACACAGTGTAACTAGCACCATCGCTCTTCGACTTTATTGACTGTAGAAATGGCGAATACGTGAGACGTCGGATTTTCCATTCAATACGAGCGATCAAATTTTGCCAATAGGAAGACAGACCGATGTAGACCTGGAGAATGATTACATAGGACACGACACACACTTTCTGTGATGCACAAGGGCAAATATTGAAAGCTGCTACTCCTAGCCAGAGGTTAGATTCTTGATCCCAGTAAGGAGATAGGCTATACCGATTGAGCGTGAAAGATATGGCGAGAAAGAGATCTGTATCTCATGCTAAATTTATGTCCAAACACGAAGTAACGGATTGCACCAAAACTGCCGGGGATTTTGGTTTCTAGGGACCCTCAAGACTCGATTGAGATGCTAAACAGCAAAGAAAAGCTGGGATGGAAGGACAGTATCATATTGCTTGCAGTAATTAGATGAACATCATCTGCTATCGCTTGAAACTGCCAACTTAACACTCGAGCTGCTAATTATTGCAACGTGCTTGTATGTATACGCAAGTGGCGTGTGTAGCGCGCAGAGCGGCTGTGCTTTCCATTCTCTACACATAGCTTACGTCGATAAAATCGCGACGATTTGTAGTGCAATATGTCGTGTTTGGCGATACGCTAATAGTGTCTGTCTTGGCTTGTTAGGTTCGGAATCGGGCCAGTCGGACCGAAAGTGTAGGTTATGCGCTACGACAAAACAAGTGCACAAGTGATAGAATCAACAATCGACGACACCCATAAGTTGACTTTGCATACTGCCGGTAAATCTGTTAGCACAACTTACTCTTTCGCTTGTATGCCTGTTAGCACAACTTACTCATTCGCTTGTATGATAGGGAAGAAATCAAATGTGCTGAACTAACGTGCTCCGTACATGCCACGGTCTCTTCGATATCGACGAGGAGACCGCGGCCTGTGCAGTCGCTGCTACTTCAAGGTCGTATGCAGCCACAAGACGACCGATTTTGAATAAATGACTGTGTTCATTGGTCGCCTGAATGACGTAAGGATCAGTAAGCAGTGCAGTCCTTAAGGATTTTTCAGGTCACTTAACAGGTTGCAAGTTACATGCGAATGTTCTCTCACGAGCGGATACTAAAACAGGTGCATGTGAAATAAACGTGCCGTGGAACTACTGGCCAGGAGCACTGGCACTACGCGTCCTGCTTCGAATCTTCTCAACACTTGCTGCCACCCTCGACCGTAAAACACGCTTGAGATCGAAATAAGCGATGCCGCTCCATGATTATGTCTTGGAGGTCGTCGAAGCCAGCAGTACCTCTGAAATGTTAACAAGTGCGAGTTCTCGAGTCCCTCCGAGTCTTTATACATCAGTCCCCAGCACCAGATGCAATGGCTACCGGCGGTCCGAATTTGGATAAATTGCTTTCCGGGAAATATTTGCACGGGAGCAGAAGCCTTCTGGAGAGCTCGATGATGTTTTTCACGCTCAATCGCTATAGCATTTCTCCATACTGGGAACAAAAATATAACATCTGGATAAAAGTTGCAGCTTTTGCCATTCGCCTATCCCATCACGGATGGTGTGCGTCGTGTCCCTTGGAGTCATTTCCAGGTCGATATCGGTCTGTCTTCCAATTGATGTAATACGACAACTTGTGTCAAACGCAACATCAGATCTCCCTCATTTAGCCATCTAAAACCCTGTCGAGTCGAACAAATATGGTGCAAGTCACGCTGCTTTGTGCGATCGTTGGTGTACCTCGAAGTACTCTTGTCGTGGATTTCGACACAGATAGATCGGTGGCTCACTTGAAGAAAGCGACAAAGGATGAGAATGCAGTGAAGATACTGTGCGATACTGGAGAGCTGCGGCTCTTCCTGGCGAGAAAAGATGGAGCGTGGATGCGAGACAACAGTCATTTGTACAAACTGATTTAGACTGAAGAATTCTCGATGGGCTGACGGAGATGCGCGCGTCCTGGCGGTTAGAAAAGCCCAGTCTGCTCATTCTAGTCTTTTTCTTGAAGAAGACGTTGTCCATGTGCTGGTAGTGCTTCCGTCGACTATGGCTAGTCCGTTAGGCAAGTCGATTACTGTGGGCGCTGTCACGATTCCCGTCACATCAATTATGATATATTCACCACGCATCGGTTTCTAGAAAGCTTTTCAAACGATGACAACCCCGTCGTAGCGGACGCTGTGATCACATTACCTGAAAAGACATTTATACCTGATGAATCCGAGCTTGGCCTGCACATCTGCATTCGTCCTTACCACCCACACTTATGCGATCTTTGTCGAAGCATTCTTGACAGAAAGAAAGAAACTTTTAAGCGCCTTATCATTCTCGACACTCCCAGGAATTGGCAAGACTCACTATTGCTTTTTGGTGTTGCTGCATCTCGCACAAAATGGAGCTACAGTGATCTACGAGAGCTACTAAGTGGAGAGGGAACGTACTCTATTTTCCAGCGATATGATGGTCAAGGGATCGAAAAAGGATTTTACAATTTTTCTTAAAGCAGCGTGAAATGTTTACGTCGTGAATGGTGTCAAACCATTACGCGTGGAAGCAAAGACAATGCTTGTAACGTCGCCACGCAAAAGGTTTGTCATGAAATTTTAACGAGATTGCGCGAGATCGTTCATGCCAGTCTGGTCAAAGCAAGAGATTTGTAAGTCTCGTGAGCTGTTGTTTTCGTATACACCCGTGGCGATTGTGGAGAAATCGTAAATGAAATGGGGCGGCGTTGCGCGCTTTATCTTACAGTAGGCTGGGGACGAAGTATTGCAAAAAGTGTCAAAGGAGGCGGTTACCAAATCTAAAAAACAGACGACACTCACAGCAAGTGTCGAATTAAGCGGGAAGAAGTGACGTCTCGCATCGGCTGCTCCACTTTCGAGTCAGCCACGAGTTTTGTTACAAGAATTTAGACTTTGCATCGGTCTACATCGCCCAAAAGTTTTTGAAAGGTTGTACGAACGTGGGAGAAGAGACCTAATCAACTTTCTTGCTGCTTCGCATGAACTCAGCGAAGATGCAGTGAAACAGAGAATTTTGCTAGAGCGATTCGTGCTTCAAGTGCTGTCGCAAGGTGGGACATTTGAATCTCGGCACTTAAAACCGAAAGAATCTACTACAGATGGTGACGATGACGAGTGCTGTAACGGGGCACCCTTTGTTCGAATGCCACGAAATTTCACGTATACTAGTACGTGCAGAGGAAGCTGATCTACTCAACACCTAAGCTGAGTAAAGGGTAAAACCAGAAATGTATTTAATATAGTCAAGCTATCAATATACCTTCAGTCTTTATCGAACTATATAAAACTACGCCGTCGTATGACGACAACCTACTCACCACTTAATGCGCGCGTCCATCAGCGATTGGTGTTAATCAATGGTTGATAAATCTTTTAGAAACCAATCTCTGAGCAGCGCATGTATAATATTCATTATCCTGAAAGAGGATACTTTTCCTTCAATATTATCAATCTTGGATAATATTGGTAGGATATTGTCATGCTAGACAAAATCCCTATTGACACCGTTTGGTGTCAATTTCATGTAATGGGCTACCCCTTACATCACCCCCCCTAACCATCAATCACCCGTTTATTGAATTAAATTTGATTGGGGCAGGTTAATCACCGTTAATTCACTCTGAGGAAGGGATCATTTGATAGTCAAATTCCATTCATTTGGCAATTTGACACGTAATTTGAAAAACAAGCGAGTTGCTACTGCAGCAGCATGAATGCGGGCTGCGCGCATGCTTGCAGCCGGGAGAGTAATTATCACATCTCAGCAGCAGGTAAATCGTCGCCTGTTGTTGTAAATCGTTCACGTGGTGAGTCACCATGTGCGACAAATACATCCGTTTGCGTCTGCAGCGGGTACCACGAGTCGTAATCAAGATGAGTCTGAAATAGAGCTCATCGATTCTGGCGAGTCGGATGATGCATCTGACTCGAAGACGACTCCTCACGCCTCCGGATCACCCGGCGCGGACACTGCAAGATCCAGGTTTTCTGGTCAACGCGGCGCTATTATGACCGAGATCTTCATATCGAGTGGTTATTCCGATGAGTCTCCGCCTCACGTAAGTCCATCCAACGACAGGACTCGCAGGGATGGTGGTGATGCATAGATGCATCACCAGCTAAGTACCTCATGGGATTGGGGTAACAACACTGGTGCCAGTACTCTGGCACCAATCAAGAGGCCAGGGACCGAACTGTCCTGCGCCACGATCCTCAAGTGAAGTCTCCGTGGATGCCGCCATCCAGAGAGTGGGACCGGCTGGCCAACACGACAACCGAACGGGATCGAATCACGTTGTTCGATTGTAGGAGGATCTGTTCAGCACGAGAACTAACCGTGCTAAAGAAGAGTTCTGCACCGATGCGTTCTTTATACATCGGTGGTACAATGGCAGCCGTGGTCGAGACGTCAAAGCCTTGATGCAGGGATAAAATGCCTTCATTCACAACATCGAGTGGATTGGCCGTGAGGCTTGGCTCGCCAAACTTGATTCAGCTCGCATCAGGTTTGAGAAACGCAACCCAGTCGGGGCACGATACATGTTGCACCGGCTTTCAAGAGAGGCAGGATTACCCTGTCTATCGTGGGGCGATTCGTGTCCAGGTTGCCTGGACAATTCGAACCGTTCCCCTAGGGAGGCCTACCTCCCTAATGATCCCTACCGGAGGGCGCACATCTCTTCCGAGATGGCTGAAGGGATTGACACCTTGCAATCCCTGTACTCGCGTTCGGGGAGGTCGTTTTTCGACGTCCCTTCTTCAAACGCAGCGGGTGGGTCTCGTCGTACTGCTCGACGAGACCAAGGACATCCACAATCAGCTGGGCACTAGGCTATCAGCTGTCCCACGCCGGTGGATTGCCACGCCAGCAGACGAGGTAACTCGTCCGGACGCCATACACATCGCGTTGGCTCAAAATACGCTCCACTAGGAAGCGTTGACACCGCTTGAGTCCACCAAAGGATGTGGTGGCGGCGGGAACACCTGATCCGGCTTGAGGGTCGGATCAGCTTGACGTTTAAGAGCTGAACCGCGTAACGGAACAGTTGCAAGATGACCTAGCTCATTAACGGAGTCGGCGTAAGGGGATTGAGGATTTTGTGAGGGATAATTACAATTCCCTAACGCACGATCGTTATGATGATCGTGCCGCGTTTGCGTTTGCGCAACTTGAGAACGAACGTTCGACTCGTTCTATTCGTGATGAGCTTGCTGTAGCTCGTCGAGACATCGCTGAACTGCGTGAACAGGTCGCTTCGCTGGTCGAACCCAAACCAACCAGACTGGCTTGTAGAAACGGGATCACTCGAAGGTAGTCTCGGCTCTCGACCGTGGAGGTGTTCTTTGCATCTCAAAACGGGCTCTTACTGATAGTACGGGCATATAGGACTAACTTAAAACGTAGGATGCGTACGCATCTTGTGGGACAGTTCAATCGTGTATGCATTGCCCATTCGGTGCAACACACGATATGGATGGATGTACTCGGGCAGTAATTTACTGCTGCCCACGTTTGTCACTGCGTATTTCGGTAGATTTACTGTAGAAAGTAATACAAAGTCTTTTTTAAGAGAACGAATTTTTGCTCTTCCCAAGTTTTTTGCGTTTCTTTTCTGTTTAGCTTTTGCATCTGCAACAGACTTGAACAAAGAGGACAACCGCTTCGCGAGTCAGCAGATATTCCTCTGCTGATTCGTCCTTGATAGCAGCAGTGCTGCTCTTCTTGTGCACTGCTGAAAGAACGTTGTCTTCACCAGTGAGGGCTTCGTCGTCCTTGCTGTGGCAGTCGTTGGCGATGCTGAATATACCAGCATCGTCGTCATCATTGTCATCGAAGTCAACGTGATCGGCATTCATCACGTCGACACCATTGTCGTCGGGTGATAAGCAAGAACCAGATCGGGTTTGGTTCGAGAGAGTTCACCCCCTCCCCCTTAAACTAGAGTCACAATCATAGAAGGTGGATATACGTGGATGATGTAGGCCGTTGAAGAACGGTGCATGCGTTGTCGGCGCATGCACCGAGTTGTTGATGGTGAATTCCGCCATCGGCGAGAACTAACTCCAAATCGGAAACGAGTGGACATACCCTCGAAGTATCTCTTCGAGTAGGCGTTTGACACGTTCCGTTTGACCATCTGTTTCTAGATGGTCAGAAGTCGACATCTTCAAACTGTTCCAAGTGAACGGTACAGGATTAATAAAGCTCCGCTGTGAAAAGGGCGTCCCTATCAGCCAAGATTCACGGGGTACCCATGATGTCGGAAGATAGTATCCGTGAAGACACAAGAACAGTCCTGGGCTATGATTGACTCCGGTACAGCAACAAGATGTTACCATCTTGCTGAAGCTTTCAACAAACACAAGAATACCAGTATTCTTGTGAGCGGCTTATGGAAACCCAAAAACGAAGTCCATCGATACGGACTGTCAGCACTCAGCCGGAATCGGGAGAAGCTGCAAGGGTGCGCGGGATGAAGGACTAGGCTTCACCCGTTGACAAACATTCGTAAGCTCGAATGTATCTGCGCACAAACTTTAACTAGCGGGGCCAGTAAAAGTCATGAATTACCGTGAGGTAAGTCTTTTTCCTATCGCGATGCCCACATGTTAGGGCATCTTGACACTCATACATGATGCGCAATCGCAAATCATTGTGAGTGGGAACGACGACACGAGGTGTGTCGCCGTTGACTGCTGTATAGTACAGCAGTCCGTCACCAACAGTACCGTTCGGTTGGAGAGCGGTATTGAGACGACAAGCTTATAAAGCTCGACTTCATGGATTAGACACGTAATTCAATAATCGTAGAAGAGACTCATCTGCTGTGTATGCTTTCCGAACGTCGTCGAGCAGATTCGACGACGGAACATTCACTGGTTGTGTTGCAGTAATGGAATGAACCCTACTGTTGTGTTGAGCAGTCGGCTCGTAATTGGGCCGACGAGAAAGAGCATCTGCGACGACATTAGACGTCCTGGTTTATACTCGACGGAGAGGTTGTACTCCGCGAAGAAAGACAGCCACCTCGTCATTCTTCGTAAGCGGTGTGGAATGTTTACGGCCGTGCGTAATGACGCATGGTCGGTATAAACAATGAAGGGCCTATCTCCTAAGAGATAGATCCGAAACTTAGCCAATGTATATTTCATGGCAAGGAGTTCCTTGTCATGCACCGGATAATTCCGCTCAGCTGCTTGCAGTTGACGTGATTGATAATAGACGAGGCGCTCAGAGCCGTCTTAGTGGAGCTGCATTAACGCGCAGCCGATTGCAAAATCGCTGGCGTCACAGACCACATAAAAAGGCCTATCATGATCTGCAATCTCCAACACAGGCGATTGCACCAAGCTTTTCTTGATGCCTTCAAAGGCGTGATGACACTTAGCGCTCCATCACCACCTCTCGTTTTTCTTTATCAGACTAGAGAGTTGTACGGTCATCTCGGCATAGTTGAGCGAGTATTTGTGCAAATACGCTGCCAAGCCAAGGAATTTTCGAAGTCCCTTGACTTCAACTGGCACAGGCCAGTCGCTAATCGCCTTGGAATTTTCCGGATCAGGGCGTATACCGTTTTTAACCACGATGCAGCCAAGAAGTGGTATTTCGTTCGCTGCGATTATTCACTTCTTTAGGTTCGCGAACAACGTATGCTCTCACATTAGCGTAAGAACCTTCCGGACGTGGATTCTATGAACCTCCATGTTCGTCTTTCAATCCATAGCCCGGCTATGGACGAAGACATCGTCGAAGTAACTTGCCGCGAAATCGCGCACCGATCGCAACAGATTCGTTACACATCTTTTAAACGTTGCGGGAGCGTTACTCTGCCCCTGTGGCATCACTAGCCACTCCCAGAGCATACCACTGGGGGTGCTCACTGCTGTGTAAGGGATATCCCGTTCAAGCATGAGGATCTGATTGAATTCATCCATCAGATCCATGGACGAAAAGATGGTGCTCTTTGACATACCATCCATGATGACGTCCTTACTTTGTATCGGCGTTTGAGCCGGTACCGTTGCGGCGATCAATTTGTTTAACGCGTGCACTATCCGCCACCCTCCTGTTACCTTTCGCACACAGAAGGTCGTAGAGCTGTGTGAGGATGCTGATTCCCTCACATGGCCCGCAGCTAAACGATCGGCAAAAAATTTCTCGATCACTGTGACCTGTTCACGCTACAGTGGCCACTGCTTCATGACATAGTATTTCGAACCTGGTTTCAGTTCGATCTCATGCTGAGTGCCTTTGTCCGTGGGCAGCTCGCATGACACGGATTCCGGGAAAATCCTTGAATTTGTACACAACCTTATACAAAGAATTTGTCTTCAAAGACTCCCAAGATTGAGACGTGTATCGCTCAATCCGAGACTTCTTATCGAGGAAACACTCGTCCATCGATTAGCTACTGAAAACCCGTTGGTTCTTAGCAAACACTTGTGCCAACCGAATATCGTCGACGTACTCGTTCTATTTGAAGAGTACGCAGATCTGCTTGGTCTTGTCACTACGCAGATCTCGCAAGTATCATTTAGATATTAGCGTTGGCAACTTGATTACCTTCGAAGCTACTTTGGAGGTGTAACCAGATCAAGTGTATAAGAGCCTACACTCGACCCGTCATTCTTTAAGACTTTTCACGAAGACAATTAGAGTGCAATCGCTATCGCTAAGAACGACGGCTTATAAAAAGTCGAGCGGAAGATATCGACATCAGATACCATTTTGACGCGCGACCAGGTGAAAGACAAGATAATCGACCTGCAGTTTACTAAAAACAAGTCACAACTGGCAGATTTTCTACCCGAACCGATTTCGACAAATAAGTTTGATTCGCTGCTGGACAAATCCAGTACTAGAAACTTCTAGTTGAGGGGAATAATTGGTAATGTCGTTGGTTACTGATACTAATGAACATATGTCATGGACGACACTGTGTGATTTTGTAACGATGGGATTGACTCATTGTTTTGTTTCTAATATGATAGAGTCGATATCGATAGGCTTTGAGTAGTACAACGAGACGAACTAAGGACCTAGCTAGATGATGGTTCACTTTCCAATTTATCTTCTTTTAAGCCTTCCCATTTCAACTCTTCCTTGGATGTTGCCAAAAGTCAAAAGATTGCCACGTAATTAACATCGAGAATCGGCTGCAGCTTCGCAATTCGCAACAAGCCACTACCACACACTCGTACGAACTAAGTACGAAACCAGTAGGCGCATAGTTTCAATAGAAATTACAATACAACACAAATCCCGAATCAGTGAAATCTTTGTGGTGTCTGTCTCGGTCTGTAGCTCTAAAATTAACGGTGAATGAAGGAGTATCATGTTTCACGAGAGCGAATCTCATGATTATTACTACGAAGAGTAAAATGCAAATCTAGCACCATCCCGATGCAAGTATTGCAAAATGCGCACCAGTTGCACAAGTAGTACCACTTCGTGACGGATTTAATGTGTACCACACTATTATATGTGTGACCGAATAATATTAGCCTTTAGGTGCCGTAAGTAGAATTTGCATAGAATAAATACTAGGGACCGCCTAGGCGTACACCCCCTAAAAACTATGCGCACCCCCCCCCCGTGATATCAAAAACAATTCTCCCACTAAATTCGAGCTATCCTCCATTCAATCCTATTCTCTCTCTGTTTCTTGCTCTTCCGATATTATACGGAGCATCCAAAGGGGTGTAAATGAAACCTTGGTCCGTTGCAACCTTAATGACAATGGTTAATTCGCTTTCGCGCTTCCGGAGTATGTTCCAATATAAAAGACAAAAACAGCACAATCTAGTATCGTATCAGCCGGTCCTCCCACAAAGCTCAAACATTCACGCACTGTCAGGTAATGCCTCATGTAGATACCAGGCGAAGTCGAGACTGCAAACTCTCCAGCCGTAGCGTCGAGATTCAGGCCGCAGTGTTCGACCAAAAAGCTATCAGCACCACAATTTTAACCCATAGGTATCTCCATCCAGCGCCAATACTGTCAATCCTCACCGCACAACGAGAAACCCCACAAGTCTTAGCCATCCTCCCCAAAAAGTAGCCATATCCAAGTTCTTTCCATCGCCTCTGAAGTGGCCGAATAGCGTCTTGCAAAATGCTTGTGCCAACCTGTTGTCGTGCACCTCCGGACCCATTTCCTCATCTACATTTTATCACCAAGTAACACAATTTACACGTAACGCCGACATCCTACCATGCCAAACCATTTAAAAAAGCTCCTACCTTCACTCCCGTAAACCTTCAGAGTGACACACCGAACATCTAATCCGTCCAACTGATCCAGCCCATACAATTGTCCAGTCAATACCTCCCATTCCCTCAATATCACCCTAACAGCACAACCACAACCGCAACCACTTGACATCGTGCAGACACGTATAGCTGCCTGTCGCTTCAATTACGAGCCCCAGATTTACTACAGACCTCGAGCACGTGCCGACGATCGGTTGCTCCATCACCACCGACGGCGCGTGACTCTTTCGACTGGAAAAATGGATCTCTTAGCTAAAAAAAACAACACGGAAAAATGAGAGACACACGAGAGCGTAATCACGGGCCACGCCGCAGACGGGACAGCATCTCACGTACATAGACGAGAGCGGAGCGCGCGTGTGTTAAAGCGGCGCGCTCTTGAGGCGCGTCGTGTACGGCAGCGTGCGCTCGAACAGCTGCCAGCGCGCGGCGTCCCAGCGCAGCAGCTTGCGGCCGCCTGAAGTGGCGTGCTTGCGCTTGGCTGCACGCGTGGACGCGTCCTCGCTGTTCATGCCTGATCTTCAGCACAGTGGAAAAAAGAGTTATGGTCCCTTGTGGCCTCTTCCGCGCACTAACTCTCGGTTGCTGGTCAGCGCGAGTGAAAATAAAACTTATTTCATAAAAAAGGGAGGGTACACAGAACGATTAGACGATTACACACACGATGGAGGTGCGCGCAATTACCAGGGATGTAACGGTTTGAATCGTTACATAACAATTTATAAGAAATTGTTAATAGAATATGACTATAAGAGTAATATTCTCAGAATATTGTCATAAGGACAAATATTCTGTAGCACTTACGAATAGTTCCTAATTGGTTGATATAGGCCATTATATCAACCAACGAAGACGCGCCACGACAGACGCACGCAATGAGTGGTGAGCAGATATTTCATTTACGCATTTGTATTTAGACATATTTAGATGAAGATAAATAGTGATTTATTGCAGACATTAACTATTATAAATACAGTTCTAATTTTTACTCTAACCGAGTACTCGCTTCTTCTTACCGTCTTCCTCTGCACGTACGAGTGTACGTGAAGTTACGAGGTACCGCCTTAATCTGTCATCAGAATAATCTAGCTTGTACTGTCACCAGTACAAGCTTCAGGGTGCCCCGTTACACCTGGTAGCACTTCGTAGTCCGTCCAAGGACCGCGTTCACATCCAACATGAATATGTTGGATGATGAAGATGACCAAAGCTTTCACGCTACGCGTGACGGCTACTCCCATTTGAGCGATGTCGAATGGGATGCGGTTGAACGATTGGGTTCAACCATGGGCATCCATGCTGTTAGCGTCATGCTAGAGGCTCTCAATAGAGATGCCCAACATGCTACTATCGCCAAGTTCATTCAAAATGAACTTGACGCTGAACGCGAGAAAGTAGCCTTGCTTCACCAACAAGGTTCTCAACAAGCAGAGTTGTTGAGAGAACAGGGTGCTCAACAGTTTGAACTGTTGAGACAGCAGCAGGCTGCTGCTGGCGGGTCGATGCACTCGCGTCGACCCGAGACTTTGAAGATTGACATCTCAAAGTACAGGGGGGTCGAAGAAGACTCCCTCTTGAGATGGTTCGTCAAAATTAGATGACGCCATAAGGGCGCGTCGCATCGACGACGGGGATATGCAAGTTGCATTTGCCCAGTCAAATCTGGCAGGACGTGCCAAGACTTGGGCACTGGGGCTCAAGTTGCACGACCCATATGCGTTTGGGTCGTTGGAAGTCTTCAAGTCGCGGCTCAGACAAACGTTTGAACTGCCTGGAGCTGAGTTCAGGGCTCGAACCGAACTGTTGAAGCTCAAATAGGGTAAGCGTGATGTGCACGCTTACGCGCAACATATACGACATCTTACGAGTTGTATAAGTTCCAATCCGGTGGATGAACACACGTTGGTTTCGGTGTTCATGCAGGGTCTTGCGGATGGTCCCGTCAAGACTCACCTGTTCCGGCTTGAACTAGATTCACTATAACAAGCCGTTTCCATTGCGGAGCAGGAAGACTTCAGTCTGAAACAGGCTCGCGCCAGCTCGACATCATATCGTCCACCGAGACGATATGACAGCGGAGGTCCAGAGCCGATGGAACTATGTTATGTAGAGAGCGAGAAGGCTCGCTCTACAGACTACAAGAAGTTGCAGAAATGCAACAGATGTCAAAAGACAGGACACTACGCTTACGAGTGTAGTGCCCCTCGTCCAGTGTCTCGCAACACTGGGTGTAATGACCGTCCGCCCATGAGAAAGGGGCAGGGACGAGGGTCCGTTGTTGGTGCAAAGACGCAACAACGGGATGGACCGTAAAAAAACGGACAGGATCAGTAGGTGCGGAGCACCCTACTGGTCCAGCAACGTCAAGAGAATTTGTAGGCCTCTTGATGAAGGTTGCTCCCAACACACAAACGTTGTGCGTTGCTGCTCTAGGTAATGAGGTCTCACTAATTACCTTGAAATTCGAAGTGACGAATAAGTTGTCCCTTCGAGCTCTAGTCGATTGTGGGGCGTCCAACAATTTTGTGCGACGCCAATCACTAGAAGATGGTCACTTCAAGTTCAGTGAATGTGACACACCTCCTACGAGAATGACGGTATGTCTTGCGACAGGCGCATCCGTAACCGTCATGAAGCGTATAGTGAAGATCCACTATACGCTAGAAGATACCCAATATGACGATGACTTTATCGTATTGGATTTGGATGACAAATTTGACGTCATCCTTGGAATACCGTGGCTCAGAAGGTACGAACCACGGGTAAACTGGCAACATCGGACAGTAACGATGCCTGCCGCTTGTTCATCAGATGGCCATCTGATGAAAGTTTTGGAGCGTCCACAAGCGTTTGGATGTACTACGAGTGAGTGCGATGGCCTCACTTGTGGTACGGTCGTTAGTACGACTGCACAAAACCTTAGTGTAACAAACGGTTACACTTCGGAGCAAAGTTCCGGCGGCTGTGAGGAAACACAGGCTGCGCCGAAGGTCCACCACTCGAATAAGTCGGGTGGACTGGGACAAAGATGTATCCCTAGCGGGGAACATCTAGAAGAGAAACAATCGATCGCTCAGGTTAAGCGAAACGATAATCCTAGATCGACTGGAGAGTCTTTCGTAGAGGATCTCGCTGTGGTTGCGCAACCCCAGCTAGAGGAAGTTAAGGGAATAAACCCAAGATTACAAACACGGCGGAAATAAGTTCCCCGAAACCCACGGGAATAAGTCCCCGGGAAGACGAAGGAATAAGTCCTTCGAAGCCTGAGGGAATAAGTCCCCAGGAAATGACAGAGACATTGAATGTCATAGTCAATAACGGATCAAGTGTAGGCGCTTATACACTTGATCTGATTGCGCCTCCGAAGTTAACTTCGGAGATCACTCAGTTGCCAACGCTCGAGCATAAAAGGTTCTTGCGTGATCTGCGTAGTGGCAAAGTCAAGCAGATCTGCATACTCGTCGCTGACGACGAGTGTGTAACCGACATAAGGTCAGCAACAGTGTTCACTGAGAACGAGAGAGTTCTCAGTAGTTCATCTATGGACGAGAGTGTCCTAGATGAAAAGACACGAATTGAGCGATATGACTCCCAATCATGGGAATCGCTCAAGACAAATCCTCTCTATGAAGATTTGGTTGAATTCAAGGATGTATTCCCTGAAACTGTTCCGTGCGAATTACCGAAGGATAAAGGTATTCGACACGAGGTCGAGCTTAAACCAGGCTCGAAGTACTGTGTCATGAAGCAGTGGCCACTGCCTCGTGAACAAGTACTTGCGATCGACAAGTTCTTTGCCGATCGTTTAGCTGCGGGCCATGTGAGTGAATCAACTTCCTCACATAGCTCTCCGACCTTCTGTGTGCGAAAAGCAACAGGAGGGTGGCGGATAGTGCATGCATTTAACAAGTTGAATGCTGCAACGGTACCGGCTCAGACGCCGATACGAAGGAAGGACGTAATCATTGATGGTATGTCAAAAAGTACCATCTTTTCGTCCATGGATTTGATGGATGTCTTCTATCCAATCCTTATGCTTGAACGGGATATCCCTTACACAGCAGTTAGCACGTCTAGCGGCATGCTCTGGGAATGGCTAGTAATGCCACAAGGGCTTAGTAATGCCCCTGCCACGTTCAACAGATGTGTATCACATCTGTTGAGACCAGTACGAGAATTCGCGCCGAGTTATTTCGATGACGTATTCATCCATAGTCGAGCTATGGATGGAAAGTCGGACGTTGAGGTTCACAGGTACCACGTCCGACAAGTTTTTACAATCATGCGAAAGCATCAATTGTATGCTAACCTCAAGAAGTGTATATTTGCAGCAAGCGAAATACCACTTCTTGGGTGCATCGTTGGTAAGAACGGTGTATGTCCTGATCCCGAAAAGATCAAGGCGATCACCGACTGGCCTGTGCCGGTCGATGTCAAAGTTCTTCGAAAATTCCTTGGGCTAGCGGCGTATTTGCACAAGTATTCACGCAATTACGCCGAGATGACTGTGCACCTCTCTCGTTTGTTGAAAAAGAACGAGAGGTGGTTATGGAACGCTGAATGTCAGCGCTCCAGTGATGGTATCAAGCAGAGCTTGATACAATCCCCAGTCCTAGCAATAGCCGATCAGGACAGGCCATTTCATGTGGTCTGTGATGCCAGCGATTTCGCAATCGGCTGTGCATTAATGCAGTACGATCTTGAAGGCGTTGAAAGCGTCGTCTGCTATCAGTCGCGTCATCTGCAACCAGCTGAGCGGAACTATCCAGTGCATGACAAGGAACTCCTTGCCATGAAGTATGCACTCGCGAAGTTCAGAGTCTATCTATTAGGAGATAGACCCTTCATTGTTTACACTGACCATGCGTCATTACGCACGGCAGTGAACAGCCCGCACCTTTCACAACGAATGGCGCGGTGGTTGTCATTCTTTGCGGAATACAACTTTACGGTCGAGTACAAACCAGGACGACTTAATGTCGTCGCTGATGCACTCTCACGTCGTCCCGACTTTGAAACAGTCGCGAAACCCAACAGTGAGACAGTCACTGTTGAGGTTATGACGTCCTCAATACCATCTTCAACGTTGTATGATGATGTGAGGCGGACATACGCCCAAGATGGTGAGATTTGAAGTTGTTGACACATCTCTCACAATCATCTCGAGAATCGTTGAAACGATTATCGTCTGCGTATCGATCTGCATCAGATCGATACACTACTCGCAACGGTTTACTGTATTATACAGTCGTTTCTGGTGACACACCACGTGTTGTCATTCCAGATGATACTGATCTGCGTTTGCGGATCATGTTCGAGTATCACGATGCTCCTATAGGAGGACATCGTGGCCGGGAGAAAACATATCTCACGGTAAGTCGAGACTTTTACTGGCCCCGCCAGTATCAGTTTGTGCGAAAGTATGTTCGCGCATGCGAAGTCTGTCAACGAGTGAAGTCAAGTTCTTCACTGCGTGCACCTTTACAGCCTCTACCGGTTCCGGCTGAGTGCTGGGAATCCATCTCAACGGATTTCGTCTTCGGGTTACCCAAAGACGCACGCGGGACTACGGGTATTCTCGTATTTGTTGACAGATTCATCAAAATGGTACACCTTGTGGCTGTACCAGAGACAATCACGGCAAGTGGCTGTGCTTGTGTCTTTATTGACACCATCTTCCGACTTCATGGGTTGCCCCGTGAACTCGTATCAGACAGAGATCCACGATTCACTGCTGATTTCTGGCGTTCCGTGTTCAAATCACTCGGAACGCGCTTGAAGATGTCAACATCTGATCATCCAGAGTCAGATGGTCAGACGGAACGTGCAAATCGTGTCCTTGAAGAGATACTTCGAGGATACGTACACTCCTTTAAGAGTTGGAGTGAGTTTTTGCCAATGGTAGAGTTTGCCATAAACAACTCGGTGCATGCTTCCATGACACATACACCGTTTTACGTGAATGGCTTGCGCCATCCGCGTGTACCCACCTTACTAGAGTGTAACTCTGGTTTAGGGGGGAGGGACTCGCGCGAGCAAAAACCGATTTGGTTCACGCTCATCACGCTCTGACGAGGAAGTCATTGCGTTTGATGCCGATATCGATAACATCGATATCGAAGAAGATGATGCCAGTGAGAGTGCGGAAGCCCTCACTGAAGAAGATGATCCCAGTGAGAGTGCGGAAGCCCTCACTGAAGAAAAGGTTGATGTTGCTGCAGTGTGCTCACAGCACACTGAAGCTAACGAGTCATCAGATGAGTTCATACTGGCTCGTGAAACGGTAGTCCGTTTTGTGCAAGACTCCATCGCCGAACCGGTGGATAAGCAAAAGCAAAACGCTGACAAGAATGGAAGGGCAAACACTCTTTCATTTAATAAAGGTGACTTAGTCCTACTGTCTACGGTTAATCTACCAAAGCATGTAGTGACTAACTTGGGTAGCAGTAAACTACTACCCAAGTACATTGGCCCATTTCGTGTATTGCACCGCCTAGGCAATGCATACACGATCGAACTGCCACGTAAGATGCGAACGCATCCCACGTTTTACGTTGGTCGGCTTAAGCCGTACCATCAGTACGCTGCTTCTTCCGATGAAGAACGCCCTTGCACTCTAGCATCTCGCAGAGAGCCTTGTGCTCCCGATGGTGGGCATCGACAAGGGTCTGAAGAGCAGCTATCTCATCCCGAGACCGATCAACAATCCCACGAGCTACCCTTAGCTCGTCACGAAGAGATGTCAGATATCTCTCGTTCTCAAGCTGAGCAAAGGCAAACTCAGCTCGATGCTTCGAGGCAGTGTCCGCCATTTGGAGACGCCTATTCCGCTCATGTTCGAGATCGTCGCGTAACCCTTGCGTTACGCGATCAAAGAAGCTCTCGGGAACACACCGATCCACATGATCGTGTGGAGAGCGTCTTTCCTCCTCCTCCACCTCCATTAGAGGACTCTCGCGGTGGCCAGCGCTATCTAGTTGAGCAGCTGTTGAACCACCGCGACGTGAACGGACGTCGGACGAGTTATCTCGTCCGGTGGCGCGGCTATCCCCCGTCCTGGGATTCTTGATGCCCCGCTCCCAACTGATGATCGACGTACTGGGTCTGGTTGAGCAGTACGACGTGGCACATCCTGTGCCGCAGAAGGACCGCCGGAGAAAGTCTTCCCGGCACGGTCGTAAAGGGATTTCAGGTTGTCAATCCCTTCGTACATCTCAGTAGAGACTCGTACGCGCCACCACGGGCTGGTAAGGAGATAAGCCTCCTTAGGTGCTCGTGCAGAGTTGTTCACACTACATGGGCACGAGTCTCCCCAAGAGAGGCAGGGTAATCCTTTCTCCCTTGACAGACGATGCAGCTTGTAGCGTGCACCTGTCGGGGTTCGCTTTTCAAACTCATCACGAGCTTTAATCAGTTTGTCGTTCCAAACGCCACGACCTACATCCTCGAGGTTATGGATGTAGGCGTTCCACGCCTGAAGTAGTGAGGGACCATCACGTTTGTGATTCCCACTGTACCATCGATGTCTAAAGAAAGCATCGATGAAGAATTCATGTTCAGCGCGATAGTTTTTCGCGCTGGGGTCAAGGTGATGGATCCTTGACGAATCGAACAATCGTGTTCGATAACGATCACTCGTCGTCGCCGACAAGTGATCCATGACTGATTTAGGAGGCATCCATGCCTTCTTCTCAGGAGCGAGACGCAACAAATTGCGGTCTCGCTCTTCCTGCGACGTGCCGACAGAAGTACTGGCACCTCGCTGTGAAGTGGTGTCCATAGGAGAACCGACACCACTATTAGCGCCCGAGTCTCGCGACCTCGAGCGCCTTCGCTTCGTCGATGGTTTATCTGATTCGTCAGATGAACCAAAGATGCTACGACGCAAAGCATCATCCATGCCACGCTTGGCAGGCGGCTTGGATTCAATCGCCGTCGATACGGATCCGTCATCCGTATCAGGAGAGTACGAGACACCGAGCTCGTACTCTGTGAAGACACGAGTGTCTTCATGACCAGCGCCTGCATCACCAAGTGACACAGGCTGAGTCGCTTCAGCAACCGATGGGACATCAGTTGCTGTGGTTTCTGCTTCGGCGTCCGCACAGAGACGTGCAGACGCGCTCTCGGCGGCCTTGCTCGCGCATCGCATGGGCTTGTTAACCATGCGATGAGATGTTGGAAAGTGGACGCGGACCAACAAGTGCAAACCCTGTCCCAAATGATTTGGGACGAGTATCCATTTAGTCAATCAGTCACTAAAGTGACTGATGGTTAAGGGGGGGTGATGTAACGGGGTGAACCGTTACATAACAATTTATAAGAAATTGTTAATAGAATATAACTATAAGAGTTATATTCTCAGAATATTGTCATAAGGGCAAATATTCTGTAGCACTTACGAGTAGTTCCTAATTGGTTGATATAGGCCATTATATCAACCAACGAAGACGCGCCACGGCAGACGCACGCAATGAGTGGTGAGCAGATAACTGATTTACACATTTGTATTTAGACATAGTTAGATGAAGATAAATAGTGATTTATTGCAGACATTAACTATTATAAATACAGTTCTACTTTTTACTCTAACCGAGTACTCGCTTCTTCTTACCGTCTTCCTCTGCACGTACGAGTGTACGTGAAGTTACGAGGCACCGCCTTAATCTGTCATCAGAATAAGTAGCTCGTACTGTCACCAGTACAAGCTTCAGGGTGCCCCGTTACAAGGGATGTACGCCTAGACAGACCTAAATACTATTATTGCATCGAGAAAGGAGACAAACGGCAGCGATCCAATCAGACGAGGTTCATTGTGCCAATGGACTGGTGTGACCCCAGCTGTCCACGAAAACAAATATTTTGCTGTGAAATCTTTTTATGCAGTTCATGTGAATGCCCCATTAATGACCTTCCCCATGTCACGACTGCGGCCGCCGTGCCCGGCATCTTTCTGTAGGATACCCGCAATTGAGGATCAATTTCCATGGTGTTAAACCAAGGCTGCACGTCATAAATCATCGCGACATCAAATCAACATAGTAATGGTTGTAACAGAGGAGAGAGAGGCATACGGATTTATGAAACATGTAAACACTGCTCGATGTCGCATATGCCTGTATAAAAATCTCGGTACTTGATTATGTCCTGCAATTGTACAATGATAAATACGTCTGCGGCGCATTAATTTTTTTTATGCAATGCTTTTGACGATTGCACTGCATTTTTCCTCATAGATTTATATTTACGGACCATGCGATATGCTTACTGCTCTTATTTGCACGATCGCCATAGCAACAACGCGTGCCGTGGTTTACAGTCCAATTACCTTAATCCCAGCCCGGAGAACACGGTGCACAACCATTAATGCGTCCTAGTGTGCTTAGGCACGTGACAGTCGTGGCTTCTTCACTTATGATCCAAGGATAAAGTAGCAATATAGCAAGTACACGAAACGCACAACATTTTTCGGTTTACACACACGTCAATCATATAAATTGAGAGCAGTAACGATGACTTAGCACGCCATTAAGGTCTCATAAATGCAGTACCTTTTGCTCCAGCACGGTCGATCAATAGCGCATGGCTTAAATCTAATCATCCACGGTTGCCGCACATTCACATGTTACGGTTGTCAGCGTTAAATTTTTAATTGAACAAAGATTGGTGTTCTACCGTCATTTTCTGGGCTTTGCCACCTTCAAACTTCCTTTCGCGTATACAATGACCTCGCGAGAGGTCTGAACAAAAATCTCCTTGCACACGTTGGGGGTCCATGTAGGGACGATTTTTTGCCAAAGGTGGGTAGCCTTTAGGGTTAAGGAGTGTGACGGGGTTACACTAAGTTATTGAACTGATTGCGCTGCGTGTATACACCAAGTAAAGATCGGTGAATTTAAGTAGTACGTTCTTGGTACCACGTACTTTCGGTAATATTGCAACTTCGAAGATAGTAATAAGGAATCAGACTTCTGTCATAAGATCGTAATGTAGGAGTCAGTTAGACAAGGTTCCAGATTGTTATTACCGTAGGTAAAAGAATAAACTATGTTTAGTTCCCCTTTTGAATCGTTGGACACGAGTGCCTGATAAAGACGTAGTGTTTTTAGAAGCATTAGCCTTGCAAAGGCGTTTACTCTCGTTTAACTAGTAGTGACTAGTTAGTGTGTAATTATGTTAATCGTTATACATTTTGAATCGGCGTTGTTAAGCTTGTGCGCTTAAACGACTGTACGTCGTTGTTAGTTTATTACAACTAAAAAGCATCTTTAAGTCCAAGACTTCCTCTGTTTAGGAGAGCTAAGTAGCTCTGCTGAACTTGGTAGCACTTGTATTAATCTACACCTGAGGCTTTGCAGACTGAATCCTCTGCGAGGATGGAAACGGCCATGAACCTCTCTGAGGCCTAGCAGACCACGCTTAAAAAGCTTAAGGCCTTAATAAGGCATGAGCAAGTGGATCTTATAATGGTACAAGGCCCGGAAGCACTTCGTGCATGTCTTGAGGCCTTCTCGAACTTTGAGTCTATATTAATCGGACAAATCCATGACCATTTGGCATCTGACATGCTCACTTGAGGAGATACGATACCGGACACTGAGTTAAGGACTCGCCCCCTGCTCTTAAGTGTCAAGAGTTTTGAGCTGAAAGAGGGGGGGGTGTTCTTTTTGAGTTTGAAAGATGGAGGTCGTCATCAGTTCGGCCCTGCTTCGGTCAGAACAGCAAATGGTGGGCCTGCCCCTATCGAAGATATGTGGGCGAGCCAGGGAGTGGGATATCACTTCTGGCACATCGATAGAAGAGGATTTACCAACTGGGTAGTGCTAAATAGCAGCTATCTCGGGTGTGTACCCCGCCCAAATAGGCATATCGCGTGCGAATACGCTTCCTGTCAACCCGCCAGGGTAAAAAGAACTTAGTCGTTTATGTCCAGGAGCTGCTACTCTCACTTCTTCTATGCAGCTTGACTCTTTACTTGAGACAGTTTTTTAGGTAGCCATTATTTTGGAATGTCTTTGCACCGGCGTTGCCAGAACAGAAGTGTTTGTGCACAACCCTCGACATTTGAGGGTGCAGTGGATATAGCGTTACACGCAGAGTTCTACTTAAAAAAAGAGCCCGCTACAGAAACAGTGATTTTTCAATCGAACTCGTCAAGCAATGATCCTTTCATGGATAGGGCAGAGCCCACGGACCTTATTCTCGCTGAGATAATTGAAGAAACTGAGCTCTATACTGTCGAACAGCGTTCGAGCATGCGTAAATTTTTACGTGCGGGATCGTCAAAAGTCTTGGTGGCCTCAATTGGCATTTAAAAGGACCAGACAGGAAAATTTAAGTCGACTTTCCATCGCTAACTAACCAGCCGGTAAGGCTCGAGAATTAATCAACCCCCACTAGACGCGGGGCGGCCTGCTGGGAAGACTTAGGCTATGTTGCACCTCTGGGAGGTGATGGAGAGCAACGCCTATCCTTTAGTGACTTTGTGCACAATGTCACGAAGCACGAGTACAAACCAGGCTTGTTAGTTGCGAAAGAAATGGTGAAGGGATTTGATAAGCCATGGTCAGTATTAATCGACGCCGGGCAATGGAATATTACGTCCGACGTTGTTGTTCCCTGGAAGGAAGTAAGCAGTATGCTGAGGCGCTAAAAGCGCTAACGAATGAGACCATCACTGTTTGATTGGCGAAAGGTGCATCAGTCACGGTTTTTTACGTTCCTGTGTATTTAAGCGCTGTAATTTTAGACGTTGACAGTATCAAACGCTGTCTTGTTTATCAAATGGAATTAGGATATGATCTTTTCCTTGGTATGGCTTGGCTAGAGCTCCATGAGCCATGGATTGATTAAAAGCTAAAGGCCTTAGGCGCGATGCGCACTGCTCCTAGTGAACATTTGAAGAATCATGATCCCACCTTTGCAGGTAAAAGAAAAGATTTTG